CAGAGATTTGTCCTGACTGTGGGCAAGGCGGAAAACTCTAGTTACATGTTGTGTTTTGAGACTGTGTCTCTCTCTGTAGTCCTGGCTGTTCTGGAGCTTGCTGTGCAGACCAGCCTGCCCTCAAACTCCCGGAAATCCTCCTGCTTCTACCTCCTGAGTGTGCGGAGATTACTGGAGGAGTTCCCCTTCCCTTGCTTCCTTCTCTCCGGCCCTCCTGGCCATTGGTCCCTGGGATGGCTGATCTTCATTCACTACCCTACTTGACTGGATTCTGAATCACCTAGAAGAAACACCTCTGAGGCATCTGTGAGGACCCTCCCCAGAGAGGTATCACCCAGAACAGAGGACCCACGCTGAATGTGGTAGGGTAGCACAGTTGGTGAGTTGAAGCGTCCTGACTGCCGACCCCATGGGAGTTGCTCTCACCACACCCGTTTGCCACCACAATGGACTGTGTCCTCAAACTGTGAGCCAAAGTACACCCTTCCTTTCTTTTCTCCTCCCCTCCTCCCCCGAGACAGGGTTTCTCTGTGTAGCTTTGCGCCTTTCCTGGATCTTGCTCTGTAGACCAGGCTGGCCTTGAAATCTCAGACATCCACCTGCCTCTGCCTCCCAAGTGCTGGGATTAAAGGTGTGCGCCACCACCACCTGGCTCCCTTCCTTTCCTTTAATTTAAAAAGATGTGTATGTGCATTGGTGTTTTGCCATGGGTATCGGCCCCTGCAACTGGATTTACAGACAGCTGTAAGCTGCCACATGGGGCTGGAATTCCTTCAGGCTGCCATTCAGTCATGGGTGGAGCAAACACCACCACAAACCCAGGTCCTCTAGAAAAGCAGTCAGTGCTCTTAACTGCTGAGCCGTCTCTCCAGCCCCCACCTTTAAAAACTAATGTATTTGTTTTATTCTATGTGCACTGCTGCTTTGCCTGCATGTGTGTCTGGGTGGGGGTGCTGGGTTCCCTGTAACTGGGGTTGTGAGCTGCCATAACTGTGAGTTGTGGTTGCTGGGAATTGAACCCGGGTCCTCTGGAAGAACAGCCAGTGCTATTAACCACTGAGCTGTCTCTCCAGCCCCTTCCCTTCCTTTCTTAAGTTTGCTTTTGTCGAGTATTTTGTTAGATCAGCAAAAAAAACCAAAAACATACAAACAAAAAACCAATGCAGGCCGTTCATATGTCCTGGGAGCCTGGAGTATATGGAAACCACAGCAGGAGATTTCCTTACCCCGTCTCACAGGAGGGAACTGAGGCTTGGTGGGTTCTGGAGCTAAGAATGGCAGGTCTGGGTTTGAATCAGGGCCCGTCTGAGCCTCCAGTCAGAATGTCTTGAGGTCCCACTGCAGGTGTTCCTGCCCTGCTCCCAGCCTCCCGAGAGTCTTAGAGATGCACTCCCAGGACGACCCAGTACTGCTGGGGCAGCTGAGCCTGGCCTTGGATATTCTTGCTCCTGATTTCTAGGACTTAAGGTTTGATTTCCCCCAAAGACAGTCTGCCTATATGGCCCAAGCTCGCCTTGAACTCAATGTCCTCCTGCCTGAACGTCTCAGAGGGAATTACAGGCCTGCATCACCATGAGCCCGAGATCTACTCTGACTGTGGTCTTTGGGAAACCCCTACTTTCCAGGCCTTTGGGCTTCCTGCCTGAGTGGAGGATGACTGGGTTGGTGGCTGACTGTGACCTGGGCTGTGTCCTCATCTTCTGATGGCCCTGGGATCTGGGGCCGTTCCCTGTTCTGGGAGAAGACACTTGCCTGAGCCAGGCTGAGAGGACACCCAGGACTCATGACAAAACTTTCTTTTTCTTTCTCTGCTGTCTATTCCTAGAACTTCCAGGGAAGAGAAAAGTGGCGGCAGTGGCGGGGGCTGGGGCGTGGGTGGTAGGGTTGTACGGGTCACAAGAAATGTCACCGAAGGCCAGCAAATGGCTACAGCTTCAGTCGGCAGCAGGGAGACAAGAGAAGGAATAAAACCCTCTGGAAAAATACGAATCCGAACCTGGTGCAGTAGCACACGCCCGTAGTCCCAGCTCTTGAGGGGTGGAGGCAGGAGGATCACCACAAAGGAGAAGCCAGCCTTGGCTCCATAGCAAATTCCATCTCTACCGAGGCCGCCCAGTGAGGCAGCCTCCAGGGACACCTCCTCTAGGGGAAAGATGATCAGAGACTAAGAGATCTATTTCTGGATCCCTGTCCAAGCAGTCTCCAGGCTCAGCTCTGTGGGGTTCAGATATGTATCCCTAGCAATCGATGCCATGAATTAGACAAATCACGCCCCAGGCCTGGGGTGAGCTGCTCCATGTCAAGGCTGCCTTTTCTGTACTCAGCTTGGCCTGTGCGGCCCCAGCCCTGACCCCAGCTTGGCAGGGTGGGGACATTAGGCCCAGAGAAGTTAGGCGACTGTGTCCCCAGGGATCAGAAGTTGGGCCTGAGATCAGAACCCAGTACTTTCCAGTCTAAAGCATGCTCCAGAGCAGCACCCCGCCCCCTACTCACTTGGCAATGGAGTGAACTCCACAGCCGATGTGTTGGTGATCTTGCCGGAGTCCAGTTCCACACGATGGTATTCGAAAATGGTCCGTCTCCGAGACTCTGAAGCAGAAGTAGTTTGTCACATCAGGAGCGTGTCATAGTCAGAGGGCTCCCAGGCCTGTGCCCAGGACCCCAGCAGACGTTAGTATGCAGCCAGTGAAGGAGAAAGTGAACCTGGCAGCCTGGGATAACGAGGCTGAAGCTACAGGAAGACTACATGCGAGGGCCTGGCCTTGGGAGGAAAGCCTATGTGCAAAGCAGGGTGAACCTGGGGGCCCGGCTGCCCCTGGAGTCAGGACCTAGGGCATCCTCCTCATGCTCGGGCAGCTTCACAACTGCTGATTATAAACTCACAGCACCTGTCCATTCTCTCTTTGGGTCCAGCTCACTCATGCAGACCCAGCTGAAGGGCTGATTCCTCTGAGCAGCCCTCTGAGGCTGCTCCCTGCTCGGTTCCACTCAGGCCGAGTGCCTTCCCCACACCGCCTTACTAACTTCTAAGTGGACGAGTGACGAGCACCTGGCTGTGAACTTGACCACAGCGACTGCTTGGCAAATGTTCACAGACAGATAGGCTGCCCTGGCTGACTACACACGCCCCAGCTCTCCCCTCCTGGTAGACAGAGGCGTAGGCAAGGTTCAGAGCCCAGAACCAAGCCTAAATCGCACACCTGTCTGTAGACACTTCCCCCGGGCCCTCACGGGCAGGACGCTCCCGACTTACTGGGTGACCTTGGCTACGTCACTTGAGCCTTGGTGTTCTGCTAATGAAGTGGAGAGAGAAACACCTGGCCCCGTGCTTTTAAGAGGGAAAACTAGAATTTTAGCTGAAGAGCTGGGCCTAACCTGGCTGTCTCAAAAGTTCTGGTATCCCAACTGTTACCAGGCTCAGCTAAGAATCCTGATCAAGGATGGTTTCCTTCCCACCAAATGACTTTCTCCACACAGTGAGGAAACTGAGGTGCAGACAGGTTAATCCATAGACAAATAAATTTTTTATAACACATCACCAACCAAGCCTAACTACCGCCTTAAATAGAAAACACCTTCTGCAGTTGAAGAGGAAAATCCACACAAGAGCCCAGCACCACCGTGAATGTCTTCGGTTAACTCATCCCGTATGTGGGTGTAGGCACCTGCTAAATCCTGAGCACCCAGCAACTTGCTGGCCACCCTGGAGCCGGCTCTATCCAGCTCATGTCAGACAGTGCTCCCAGATCTGGACCATTTGCCCTGGCATCTTTCTGGAGTTCGTGGACTGATGTCACTGCTCACTGCATTTTAGAGGAAGAAGTCAGAGCTGAGTGTATTATCTCTATGTATCATTTGCTTAAAGCCATGTGGCTTTTTTTTTTTTAATCCAATGGCCAGACTTAAAACTCAGGTTTCACCTAGGTATCCTGGCATATCCCAGCATTCCGGGAGCTACCCCAGGAGGATTGCTATGAGTGGGAGGGAGCCTAGACTACATAGTGAGTACTAGACCAGCAAGGGCTACATAGCAAGACCTTGTCTCAAAAAAAACACGCGAACAGCCTCAGGTCCCAGGGCTAGGGAAGCTCCAGACCATCCCCAGAGGTGTGTGTGGTGTGTGTTCAGCAGCCATTGGGGAGGGTGCATGAGCTCTGGCTGGTTCCTGTGGTGTAAATGCTCTACCACCCGATTTCAGCATCCTTACTGGTGTTTCCAGAAGAGGCAGAAAGGAACATTTGCAGAACTGTCTTTGGAAGTAAACAATTAGACCAGCATCCACAACTTGCATGATTGTGTGTTTGTTTTCCTTCTGTCTGAGGGCTCCACTGCTGTGATAAAACACCATGACCAAAAGCAACTTGGGGAGGAAAGGGTTTATTGCATCTTACACCTTTCGGGTCACATTCCCATCACTGAGAGAAGTCAGGGCAGGAACTAAAAGCAAGAACCTGGAGGCAGGAGGCCATGGAGGAAAGCTGCTTACTGGCTTGCTCCCCATGGCCACTTGGGAGGCGGAGGCAGGCAGATCTCTTTAAGTTCGAGACCAGTCTGGTCTACAGAGAGAAAGTTCCAGGATAGCCAGGGCTACATAGTGAGACACTGTCTCAGGAAAAAGAAAAAGAAAAGGAAGGGAGGGAGGGAGGGAGGGAGAGAGAGA